GTGTCCTTCTCGACTACATTTCACTAACATTTCATCTCCCTTTATAGATGTATTTTAGTTATATAAAATATTTTAGTCCTTTTAAATGATTTTAATATAAGAATATGATTTAATCAAAATATTCAATATTTTTTAATTAATAAATACAAGAGAATATAAATAAGATACTATATTCCCATATAATTCCAATATAGAGTGTATATTTTCTTAAATTAGATTAAATATGATTAATGTTTTGTAACTTTTTCAAAGAAATAAATATTTGACGACGTGGCAAAACCAATACCAAATTATGATTAGACCAATGCCAAATTATGATTAATTTTCCAACCAAAGACCAGAATGAAGGGGACCAAATTGAGTTTTTTATGTCATATATATGAGGGGGAAAAAAAAAAGGCACTCCCCTGAAATTCAGGAAGAAAAAATTTAATCATTGCTCTTGTTGACGTCTATATATATATATATGTTATATACATATTATGAAAAGAAGAAAGATGACACGTGACTGAAACTTTAGAAAAAGAAATCGTTTTTGCTGCCTCAGATGTTTATATAATATAATATATATATATATATTATATACGATTGAAATTTGAAAGAAGATTAATTAGTGCATTAAATGTAGTGTGTGAACTAATATATATATATATATATATATATAATAAAGTTTGGTCTAGAAATTTCATCCTAGATGGGGAAAATTGGAGAACAATTGATTTTTTTGGTTTCTTATAAATGCAGGAAATGACCAGAAGCAACAAACTTGGGAATTTTTTGGTTAGATTTATGACTTTTTAACACTAAAAAACAAATAGATACTAAACAAAATATTATAAATTCTACAATGATAATTTTCTTAATTTATTCAAAAATTTAATTAGATAATAAACAATTTATGGTAACTATCATATTTTCTTAATTTTAATTAAATCCTACAATAGAAATCATATTATATAATTTGAATTCTAAAAAGTTTTTGAGGAAGCCATGATCCCTTGGCCCTTGACAAGCTTCAAATGTGGCGTCAAATGATAACTCTCACTCTCTCTCCATATATAATATTGACTTATACTAATTTTATTTTTATTAATATTGTTTATTCTTTTCATATTTTATATTGAAGTATGTAACTCTTCTTTTAATTTTAATATACTAATTTAATATTTTAATGTTATTTATATTTTGATAAATTTCATTATTATTGCTTGGTTAAATTCAAAATAATTTTTTCTTTATTAATTATTTTTCTTAAAATAAGTACTTCATGTATCATAGAGGATACTTTGGAATAATTCAAAATATTGTCACTTGTTAAAACATAATTTTTTTGGCAATAAAATATAAATTATTCTAAATTTTTATATCTCACTCTCATTTTCAATTCTCAACTGAGTTGTGTTCTGTCTCTTCCGTAGCTTCCGTGAGCCTCTGCTGTCTCCTTTGTCTTCACGGCTGTTGCTTTACTTTTCCATTCTTACGCTCCCAATCTCATCAACCGACTTCAAGATACGATTCCTAAATCTGATCAGTTGTTAATTTGCCTTTCAATTCAAACACTTGAGAAACCTCAATTTAGGGTTTAAAATTACTCTAATTTAGTTCACACTTCATAGGCCCCTCTTTCAGCTCCATTCCTGCCTCTTCCTCCGGCTAGGGGCTAATCAGAGCTCAATTTCTCCATTTCTGTTGATTTTACTATGGCCGTGTTGTTGGATGAGATCGTGCAATCCGTGGAGCTATGGCTGAGACTGAGGAGGAGAAAGCCACAACCCTATGTGGACCCGAATCTCGACCCGGTTCTGTTGGTACCGGGTATTGCGGGTTCCATTTTAAATGCTGTGGATGTTGAGACAGGGAAAGAAGAGAGAGTTTGGGTCCGGCTTTTGGGGGCCGATTACACGTTTAGAACAAAGCTTTGGTCCTATTTCGATCCTTCTACTGGTAATTGTTGCCGTTTCGTGAACGTTTAATTTTTCATTTTGGGCGGGGAATTTTTTTTTCTCTCGTTATTACAAGAGCGTGCATTTAATTAATAAGACGGTACTAAAGAAAGAATATACGGAAAGGGAACATTTTGATTTTTCATCAATCTTTAAGGGTTTTAAGTAATCGATTTTTGTTGTTAAGTAGTTATTTATCTTGCAGGTAAAACCATTACTCTTGATCCGAAAACGAGAATTGTGGTTCCTGAGGATCGATATGGATTGTACGCAATTGATATCTTGGACCCTGACTTGGTACCTTTCGTCTTTGACTTTTAATGCACGATTTCTGCAGTTTTTTTCGGTAGAAAATTTGTTTATTTTTTATTTTTTGGAAGAATCCGTAGAAAATTGGTTTTATTTGGATATTTTGTGCTTTGAGAGTATATTTGTGGATTATCTCACGTGATGCTTTATGCAAACTTATCTTGTATGAAATCTATCATTTGTCTTTTTAAAACTTTTGTAGACGATGGCATGCTAACCCCTGGAGAACTTTGTGATTAGTTCATGATGCTTCGTTCACAATTTTCTTCAAAATCTACTTTGCATAAAACTTTAACAAGGCTAACTAACTGATGGTTCCATTCCCATGTCCACTGCAGATAATTGGCAGAGAATGCGTTTGCTATTTCCATGATATGATTCTTGAACTGCTGAAGTGGGGTTTTGAAGAGGGAAAGACACTATTTGGATTTGGGTATGATTTTCGGCAAAGTAACAGGTACCATTCATTTTCTGGTGGCTAGAGTGAATAATATGCATTTCCTTTGCTTCTTTGGCTTTCTGTTGAAGATAAAAAGCCACAATTCTTTGAGAAGTAATTGAACATTGACCACAGGATGCCTAATTTATGGAAGAATAATGAACTGCTGGAAGGTAATACTCGCAGGTGTAGCATGGCACATTATAATTGAGTTCCATCTTATGATGAAATGGGCTTTCCATATTTGGTTCCCCTGAAGGATTTGAATGTCTTGTTACATTAGACTAGTTCATTTATAAAGTGTCTTGTCAATCTGTTCACGGAGTAAACTGGTATTTGTGAGTTAAAATGTTGCTGGCAACCTGATGCATGTTGTTTTCTTGCTTTGGAGAATATTTTTCGATGCAATCTTATGCTCTTTTTAAATGCTTTATAATCTTTCAGATTGCAGGAGACCTTAGATCGCTTTGCTGCAAAATTAGAGTCTGTTTATAAAGCATCAGGAGAGAAAAAAATAAATATTATAAGTCATTCGATGGGAGGTCTTCTAGTGAAATGTTTCATGAGCCTGCATAGTGATGTAAACCATCCTCTTTTGAATTTGAATTCTTTATCTTCCTTATTCTTGTGAACATCTTCTCTTTCTCTCTCTCTATAACACTCTGTATAACCATTTTTGGTGGCCAATATATCTTTTTACAGAACGAGAAATTAAGTTGACGTATTTATAATCTACTGGTGCTCTGTTATGCAGATATTTGAGAAGTATGTGAAGAACTGGATTGCTATTGCTGCACCATTCCGTGGTAAGTGGTTGTAAGCAATTTGTAGAGTGGACATTCAGGGTAATATTCAGACTGTAATTTCTATTGCACAAGATAACCTACAGAATGAAAATGAACACTCAAATTATTGTAATTAAGGTTATAAATAAGAGTAGTGGTCTGACTTCAGTACTGTGATTTGATTGCTTTTCCGGGTGTGAAGTTGAAGCACATAAAGCGTATTGCCTTTCAAAAGAAAAAAAAAAAAAAGAGAAAAACACAGTAAGGAAATCTAGACAGAATTGAGGTGAGGAAATTCTGCAAGGATCAGTGCACATGATTCTTTTCTTTGCAATAAAGTTGTTTATCAGAATTAGTTCAGTGTTTATGCTTGAAAGAATGCTTAAGGATTTTCGTAGTATTTTCTGCTCATAGTACAGGATTGCATTTTCTTTAGCTCATTAATACCAGGTGGTGAACTCGTCTATTGAATTTCTTCACTGGAGTATATTTTCTTGGAAGTTTATTAGCCTGGTGTTTAGCATCTTCCATATTTAATCTGGTCCTAATTTTTATTGGATTTGAATGTTTAAGACTAGATTAAGGTATTGATTTGCATTTCTATCTCCAGTGATTCAACTAGAAGTATCAAGCCATCTTATTTTGAAACTTTATTTCCTCTAAGTTTTGTCAAGTGAGGTGGGCTTTCAACATTTGTCAACAGGTGCTCCCGGATATATTGCATCTGCCCTTCTAAATGGAATGTCATTTGTCGACGGATGGGAGCAAAATCTTTTTATTTCAAAGTGGAGCATGCATCAGTTGGTATGGTACATTGTTTTGGCTTTTGAATTACAGCGATTCTTTTCTGTGGCTTAACATCTATTATAATGGCACCCTAAGGTCCAATTGTTATAAATTTTGCCTGTTACACACAAGATTAAGTTCATTACTGAGTCAACATCAATGTTGTTGTTTGCTGCGATGTTTCAGCTTATTGAATGCCCATCAATATATGAATTGATGGCTTGTCCAGATTTCAAATGGCAACACCGTCCTCTTTTGGAATTGTGGAGAGAGAAACAAGGTTGTGACGGAAACCCTGGCGTTATTCTGGAGTCTTACCCCCCGATAGAGAGCATCAAAGTCTTTAAGGAAGCTCTTTTGAGTAATACGGTGAGGTACAGTGCATAACATGCAAAGTGATGATAAAGATAGACATCTTAGGTGTAACTTTTTTAGGAAGTAAAAGGTTCAATAAAATGGGACATCTGCTTAATTATCTCACGTTGAGACATGCCTGATGATGCTTATGTGGTCAAGTAATTTTTGTTACTGCAGATTATCCCGCTCTTATAGGTTTCCTCTTTATTTAATTTTATTTTGTTTTATAGACCTCCTCTTTCTTTATATAAAAGCATTCCTTTATGGTTTCCAAGAGAACTGCTTTGACATTTGTGGATTAAGTTTTGCATTATTTTACGACCTGTATTGGCTCTCTTATTTAGGATAATTTTTTGGTTTGTGTGTGTACATTCACTTCATGATTCAGGTCAATTATGATGGCGAGAATATCTCTCTTCCTTTCAACTTAGAGATCTTGAAATGGACTGATGAAACACACAAGATCTTATCCCGTGCCAAAGTTCCTCCTCAAGTTAAATTCTATAACATATATGGAATAAATCTTGAAACGCCACACAGTGTTTGGTAATGCTTCTGCTTCAGAATGAAGGACTTCATCATTGTTTCAGTGACTTACTAATGTGGTTCCTTAATTTAAATGCTTCATGCCACCAGTTTTACTTAATATTTTCTATATATTCATGGGTCTGTATATCTTTAATTTGGTTTACTAATCTGCAGCTATGGAAGTGAGGATATACCCGTTACAGATCTGAAACAACTACGATATTTCCAGGTCATGTTTTTCTATTGAGTTCTGTTTTTGCTGTGATGCAGTGTAGTATATAATGTGTGCTGTTTCTGCAAAGTTTTTCTTTTTTGGGAATCCTAGCTTGAAAAATCTTCTTCCATAGTTCAAGCAATTTGCATTTATGCAAACAAATTTCTGCTTTCTTTTGTTATTAAATATATAGTCTTTTGCTATGAAGTTGTCATTTTTGATTATTTGCTGATGGTGATTTGTATTCTAATTTTTCAGCCTACATATGTATGCGTAGATGGTGATGGAACAGTTCCAGCTGAATCTGCTAAGGTTGTTCTATTTTTAAGTATAACTATTGTTTAGCTATTTGATTATGCTATGATTTCACCTTTTCTACAAAGGATCTGTTCTTGATTTTTTTTTGGATCCACTGCAATCAATTATTTTCTTTCAAATTTATAAATGAGAAATTAATTTATTTTAATGCAAAAGAATGTGTTAGTGTCAACTTAACTGTTAAATCTGTTGACCCAAAATTAAGTTCATGAAGCAGAATAGGGAGAGAGGAAAAACGGTGGGAAAAATGGATTCTTCCATTTTGGTTGGAAGAGTGGGCAGTGCTGGGAAAGTAGTTAAACTATAAGTCTCCAATAAAATTTGAGGATGAGAGAGACCGAGTCCAAAATGGGGGGTTGATGGAAGTTGCAATTTTCTTACTTGTCATTATTTTTACAAATGCTGAACTCCATGCAGATTCTTAGCTAGCCTTTTCCCTTAATCATTTCCAGGCTGATGGGCTTAAGGCAGAAGCAAGGGTTGGAGTGCCCGGTGAACACCGGGGAATTCTTTGTGAGCATCATGTGTTTCGAATTCTCAAGCACTGGCTTAAAGCAGGTGAAATAGATCCATACTACAACCCTTTAAATGATTATGTGATCCTACCGACTGCATTTGAAATGGAAAAGCATCAAGAGGAAGGCATACAGGTCACCTCACTCAAAGAAGAATGGGAAATTATTTCAGAAGACCAAGAAAATAATAATGTGGACAACAATGTTGCTAAAAGAGAGCCTCTAGTAAGCTCCATATCTGTTTCTCAGGGAGGAGAAAATAATTCTTCTCGGGCAGAGGCTCGTGCCACTGTTATAATTCATCCCCAGACTGAGGGTAAGCAGCATGTTGAGCTTAATGCTGTTAGTGTTTCAGTTGACGCCTAAAGCTGGGTTCGAGCAGAAAGAAATGGAGTGCCAAATGTTGTACATGTTTGTATATAGGAGCTTTGTCTAAGGTGATATGGACTTCTTAACCTTTGTCTGTTACAGAGAACATTAATGTTGCTTGTCATTTCTTAAAATGGAAAACGTCATACTCTGTAAATTATATAAGTACGGACGTTTAGCTTTTACTTTGAATTGTTAGGATGTAGTGAAAATTTATGGTATCTTGTTCAATTGGTAATTGTCCCTTAGAACTTCTACATGGCAATGGACAGTGGCAACAATTTCAGATTCCGATGAATGGTTGATTTTAGTCTTACAAAATTACGCACTGTATATCTAATGTTTATTTCATTTTAAAAAAAAGATTAACTAGAAGTTTTATTTATTCTTTTTTGAAACATTATATTTGAACGTGAAATGACACGAGTTACTAAATAATTTAAGATCATAGGAATTAAAGTTATATTTTATAATTGAATGATTAATACTTGTACAAAAGCATGAGTTTGAATTTGGGGTATAGGTTGAAAAAAATAAAGTTGTATTGTAATTAAGAAGAGTGTTTTTTAAATCAATAGTTCAGTAATTTTGAATCCTTTATAAACAGTTGTGTGTAGATTAAATTATACATTCTTATATGTTGGTGTCAATATATTAATTGTATTATAATTATTGTGTGTGTATTATTTAATTAATAAAATGTGTATTTTTTATTAAAAAAATATCTCTAAGTTATGGTAAATCAATAGGATTTGAAGGTACAATATTAATCCATCGTGACCTTTCCTTTTATATATATATATATTTTTTATTTTTTTTTTGTGGGAGACTAAAATCATGCTGTAATGTAACTTATGTGATAGAAACACCCAAAAATAATAAAAAAAGAACACAAGAAAAGTAGATATAAATTTTTAAATCCACTTCTTTTAAGCTTTTTATAACTTATATTTTCAAACTAAATCATGAATTAAATATGAAATAAGTGAAAAATAAATTATCAATTGAGATGTTATAAAAAATAAAAGATATGTAAAAGTTTATAAATTATGAGATTTGAAAGTTTATAATAAATATTTTTTCATTAAAAATTATTAGATATTTCATGAATCCAAATTAGTTGAAGAACGTAACAATTTGAATTGTCTTAATTTCTTAAGTTTTTGAAAAAAAAAATTAAGATGAATTTGAAATTTACTGAATGAACTATGAACTACGTTATAATTTGATATATATATATATATATAGTTACTATTTAGTTTCTAAACTTATAATTTATTTTAAAAATTTAATATTTTAATGAATTTTTTCGAAATAATAATTTTTTTTGTATTATTTGATAATAGCATAAAAAAAATAACTTCTTATACCATTTTATTCTTTTATTTTTTATTAATACTATTCATATTACTTCAACAAAATAAATATATTATTTTTATTTGGTGATATTAATCTTTAATGTTTATAATTTTTAAATTTTATTAAAAGTAAAATATGAATAAAACAGGTAAATTTTCTGTTATTATTTATTGAAAATTTTTAATTTTATAAAAATATTATAAATTAAGATAATTTTTTAAAATTTTAAAATTAAATAACAATTGAATTAAATTATAAGAAATTTTACCTAATTATGGGAATAAAATAGGAAATTTCCGTAAAAACGGTAATCTCAGCAGCTTATTCTCTTTCTCATCCTGTAATTATTCCATTTTATCGTCTTCTGCCATTGGTGACAGGCCAAAGCTCGTACACACATGCGATTTGAGAAAGGCTGAAAAGGAGGGAGAGGAGGAGGTAGCAAGAAAATTTTGTTAATACAAGCACCGGAAATTGGAATGGGTCGGTCTCTTGTCTTCTCCACCAACTGTCCTCTCAGATTTTCTCCACGACCCAGATTGATTCCACCTCTGAACCCCCCAACTCAGTATGGAGTTCAGATAGTTAGTGGCGATTCTCAACGTGGGTATCAAAGAATTCAGTTTTTCAACACCAAATCCAGTAAGAAACTATGCATGAGAGCTGCATTATCAGATGTCTCCAATCAGAAAAAGTTCCCAAAAGTGGGTGCCCAAGTAACTGGACCAATTCCTCCAACTCAGCTCCTTCAAGTTGTTGAGACTGCTGCTAAAACTGGCGCTGAGGTTCTCGCTCTCTCTCCTCTCTATCTCTCATTGTATTCTTTATCTTATGCTAAGCCCAGATAAAAATTTTTTGGTCTTGTTTTTTCTTTAAGCCAGGATATTGAAATTCAAACTCTTAATTGAAAACTCAGTTTATTGAGTTGGAAATCATCAGTCAAATTTAATTGTAATATTCAAAACTTAATTCGCTAATCAAAGAAAAATATCCAACATTAAGTATTTTAGAAGATTTATATAGCAGGGGGATAGCTAGGCCTCATGGGGTGGGACTTTGGAAGGGTATTAGTATGGGGAGGGCGCAGTTTACGGAGGGTATTCAGTGGAAGCTTGGGAGGGGTAATATCATTAATTTTTGGGAGGATGACTCGTTAGGGAGGGGTAGTCTTAAGAACCAATTTACAAGAGTTTATAATTTGGCGATGAGGAAGAATTTGGTGGTAGAGGAGGTGTTTAGGGGAGTGGATGAGAGGAGTGGTTGGGACATCGATCTGGTTAGGATTTTGAATGATTGGGAGATTGATGAGTTTACAAGACTCCTTCAAGTTCTTGCTGATGTGCATTTGGATACTTTTAGGGATAAAGTTACTTGGAAGTTCAAGAAAGATGACATTTATACTGTAAAATCTTATATGACTACTTGATAACTAGGGAGGATGATGGTTTGAAATTCCTGGATCATCAGATTTGGAAAGTGAATGCGCCATTGAGAATTGCTTTTTTTTTTTTTTTTTTCTGGGAAGCGGGTCGGGAGTGCATTCTTACTATTGACAAGTTGACAAGAAGGGGTCATATTATGGTCAATGGTTGCTATCTTTGCATGGAAGCTGCTGAATCTTGCAACTATCTTCTCCTTTGGTGTCCAATGACATATAGTTTATGGCATATGGTGCATACTTTATTAGGTATCAATTGGGTAATTGGAAACTCGGTAAAAAATGAACTTTGGGTTTGGGGAGGGATTGGGAAAAGATCAAAGATTGTTAAACTGATTTCTTTAACTATTTTTTGGATGGTGCGGAAAGAGAGAAACAATAGAGCATTCAATGGTTGTGTTAGGGATATTGGTAGAATTAGAGATAGGTGGTTACATACTTTTGAGACTCTAATTCTGGGTCATAATGTATACAGGTGGAATGATTTTGGGATGGTATTTGATGTAGTAACGGACATGTAAATATTTTGTATAGAGGCGGCACCCCTTTAGAGTCATATACGTAATATACATATTTTTATTTAAAAAAAAAATATTTTAGAAGATTTATATGATAATTAAAACATTTGTTTCTAGAGCAAATTTTATAAATATTGGATCTTTTAATTAAAATAATTGAAATAAGTTATTTACCACTTTTTAAGTTTCGGTTATATTCATGATAGATTGTGATTCACCAATAGGTTTCAAATTATTTGTTATTGAATCAAGTTAAAGTATAAGATTCAAATTGGGAATTGTAAAATTCTAATAAAAATGATCTTTTCAATATTATGTGTGAGGAAAAGTTGAAGAAAGGAATTGAGAGGATGAAAGAAAAGAAAAAGACTTTTTTTGAGGAATAAAGATAAATACTAAGTAAACAGAGCTTTTAAAGAAAAGGAAAATGTTTTTATTGTTTGGATAACTTCTGAAAAAGTAAAGAAGAGGAAAAATTAGAGTTTTAAGAGAGAGATAAAGATAATCAACATACCCAATTTTAGTTACTGTTTTTTATTCAAACAAGTGAAATAAGGGTAGGCATTCCCTCATTTCATTTTCTTTAACTTCACTTCTCTTGAGTCAATTATACTGTAAATTATATAGATTGAGCTCTTTGTAGTTTCTTTTATGGTTTCCTGTAATTGATCATATTCCTTCTTACTTCTGTATTTCTGGTAATTTCTGCTTGCATTTAAGTATGCGGTTCTTGAGTTGATGTCCTGATGTTTGTACTTGAAAATTTGTGTCTCTTGGTTACATATTCCATTTCTTGATGCATATATGTGGCTTCATGAATTATTTTCTTGTGAAGTCTAATGTTTTCTCAGTACTGTCAGGAGTTCATGTTCGAGATGTTATGACAGTTTGTTTTTCTTCTTCCTTGTGTTTTCTTGTATCTTTCTATTCTATGAAGGTTAAGTTGGGTCTGAATGGCTGTTGAAAAACTATCGCAGTATAAGGAAATTGTTACATGGATAATAGAATTGGTAATTTCTATACTGCATAAATGCTCCAACAATATGGTTACTTTTACCTGGATCTCAATTTTTTTGTCGTGATGCCTGCTTTTCTGCAACTATCAATCAAGTGAACCCTTATACAGACATGCACCACTTTAATTGTCATTTGTCTGGTTGGTTAATCTTTCCATTTTTTGTGACAGGTCGTGATGGATGCTGTTAATAAGCCTCGAAATATCACATATAAAGGACTGACTGACTTAGTAACTGAGTAAGCACTTAAAAGGCAATCTCACTTTTAAAGGTTTTTATAGCCATGAGAAGTAATTGATGGTGTAAATATATCAAAGACACCTTTAAAGCCTGTAAAATTAGAACTGGTATAGCAAAGCAACTATTTTTAGGTAATGATATCAGCTTCTCATCAAGCATTGCATCTGTCAGATTACAGTTCAAAAATGGTGGCATGAAATTGGTGTTACCTTTTCTACAAATATGAAGTTATACATTCTCATTGAATGCTAAATTGCAGTCAGGAACATATTTTAACATGTTCTTTTAAATAGTTTAGAGTCAAAAGTCTATGAAATATCAACAAATCTTATTTACAGTGGTCTTGAGAGGAGTCTTCTTAATGCATACGTTTTCTTTTGATCTGAGATCTTTGGTGTATTTAATAGTACTGATTCATTGTTGATTAGATTCTTTAGGTTTTGTTGCATGAGATTTCTTTTTCCAAGTAAGGTAATATCTCCCTTGCTTCAATAAATAATTGGATTCTTGAAGTATGCTTGAAAAAATTTACATCACATTTGTGGACATGCAGCACAGATAAAATGAGTGAGACTGCTATTTTAGACATAGTGAGAAAGAACTTTGGAGATCACCTCATCCTTGGGGAAGAAGGAGGAGTTATAGGTGATTCGTCATCTGATTATCTCTGGTGCATTGATCCTCTAGGTATGATGTTTTTGCAAATGTGCAACAGCTACATAGCATGGAGAATGTGTATTGAATTTGAAAATGTAGTTTTACCTTTTAGGATTGTCAAAAAATGTATATGTGTAATTAGCGAAAACTAGGTCAAAAAGTATGAGGGTAAATATTTCCTTTGTAAATAATGGTGGCTTTCCTTTCTTAGTCCGTATAATTTGTATATATAGGGGACATATTATTCATTAAAATACATAACATTCTATTCTTAACATGGTATCAGAACTCTAGATTAAGAAACCTTTAACTTTTTTACAAATTTTATTTGGCCTTTATTGCTGAAATAAGACAAAACCCTAAGAGACTAGCCTCTATTGCTGGCCATCACAACCAGCTGTTGGCCACCAAAGAACTGGCCACCAGCAACCCAGACCAACCTTAATCATCAGTAGTAGGAGCTCAGTCGTGCCCTAACTGCATGACCAGGATCTTCTAGCTGCACCACCTTCTGCTTAGCTGTCCAGTCAGCTGTTTTAGCTGTGCCTACCGTCCTGCGTGCCTGTTCCAGTCAAAAGCCAGCTGTGCCGCCAACTAGTGCAGCTGTCAGGAGAAGAGCCTGGGAGTGATCAAATGAGCATCATACTGGACCCTTAACTGGGAGTTGTTAGTCTTCCAAATATTGCTAGAATCCATCCTAACTTATGTCTACATCCCAGCTGGAGAAGAAGGGATCCGACCTGGTCATTTCGAATTTCAAAATTCAAATTGGGGACCATTTTCCTGTGTTAGGCGGAGGAAATTCCATATCCATCTCACCCAAGCCCACTCCGAAAAAGCCCAAATTCACTCGGGCTGAAAAAGGTAAATGGATTGATCATGTGGGGGCGAGTAAGGAAACCTGGAAGATACTTGGGGCCAAGGCTAGAAGTCCAAAATTCAAAACAAGACGCCCGAAAGTTAAATGGAGGCCCAAAAAAGTCAACTCGACACAAGATATTAACCCTAAATTGCTAAAAAACACTGAGTCGGGCATTTCTTCAGAAAAAAACTTCCGCTCTGCCTTCGGACTTGTGCCCTAAAAGAGGAGATATTGAAGATATGGTCGTGCTTTGTTTCGAGAAGAGGTATGTAGACACTGTCCCTCACTATGAAATCACACTAAATATGAAATTTCTCAATGAAGTTGCTCTTCCGTCTCTTGGGTTCACTCAATCTCTCGAGGTGTTGACTCCGATTTCTTGAGTCTGAAAACCCATTTGCATTGGCTATCAATGATGAGTCTGTTTCATCCCCTTTGCCGATCTCTAAAGAAATGGAGTGGTTAAGCAGCCTTCTAATGTGCCTGCTGAGTGGAGTTGCCCAGATATACTCCTCTTGCGTAATTCAGAATATCAAAGGTATTAACCAACTGTTCGGTGTCTCTTATAAGGGGTTTGAAGACAGAGCATTAGCACTGTTTGCTGAGTGGGATAAAAGAAATGGTAAGAAGGATGCTACTAGTCTACAGACGAATAAGGGAAAGAAGAAACAATAAGAAGTGGGGCTAAAGGAACTGAAGCGACTTCAATGTTTAGTAAAACTATGACAGGAAGGAAAGAAATGCAGGGGACTACTTCAGAGAATACAACAGTGTCTCAATGATGGGAAAAACCATATCTTAGAAAGTAAAGGGTCTCAATGATCCAAATAAAAGAAACATTATAAGAGGTTGTCTGTCTAGATGGAAACCAACGATGGTATGCTTCCAAGAAACCGAAATCCAGGAGGTCAGTGAGAAAATCATTAAAAGTTTGTGGAATTTGAATTCAATTGGATGGTTTTCCAGTACGGCTTGGGGAAATGCTGGGGGCATTCTGGTTATGTGGAATAAAGACATGGATTGGCTTTCGGGGGAAACTACTGCTTCCTGTTTATTCAATAGCTCTTTAAACGGTTTTGAATGGTTCTTCACAGGCGTGTACTGTAGAGATAACAATGCTGAGAGGACAACTCTTTGGGAATAAATTTCTGCTTGTATGCACAGATGGGGTAATAACAGGGTGATTAGTGGAGATTTCAACATGACTCTGAAAAGATGCAAGAGGTCCAACAATCAATTCTTTGTTTATGAAGCTAGAGAGTTTCAATCCTTTATTGATATCTATGGTCTGGTTGATTTTTCTCTGAAAGGTGAGAATTGGACATGGAGCAATGACAGAGGAACTCCTTACTCAAGTATCGATAGATTTCTTGTCAATCATGATCTTCTCCTAGACACGCCGAGTCTCACTCAAAAGGTACTCATTAGATCTCTTTTTAATCACTTCGCTATTGTTCTTGATCCTGGGGGTATCAAATGGGGTCTTTCACCATTTAGAATTGACAATAAATGGTATAAAATTGGTAGTTTGAAGACCATGGTTGAATCTGTGGAAAAATTCAAGCTATAGAGGTCCTCCTAACTATTGCCTTGCCAACAAGTTCAAAATTTGAAAGAAAAAATTAAAATGTGGGCTAAGAAAGTGGAAAGGGCCTAGGAAATTCATATCAGTGAGCTTATGAATGAACTCGATATCTTGGAAAAGAAAGATGGTGAATCGGGTTTGTCTCTTACTAATAGAGAAAGGAAAAACAATTTAAATTAGAGTTAGCAACCAAACTCAATTTGGAAATCGTATCTTGGAAACAAAAAGTTAGAGAAAAATGACTTAAAGAGGATGGCAAACATACCCAATATTTTCACTGCCTTGCCAATTATCGTAGAAACATTAATTATGTAGAAGAACTTTTTATTGGCAACTCCAGAGTTGAAGCCAACACAGAAATGAGAGACAGTGCATGCAAATATTTTCAAAATATGTTTATAGAAGAATGTTCTAGGAGACCGAAACTAGATAATCATCACTTTAACAACTTAGATGATTTAGCCATTTCCCAATTGGAAGTCGAATTTACTGAAACCGAGGTGACAAAACCCCGGGTCCAGACGGATTTAACATGAAATTCTTTCATTTGTTTTGGGGTGTGGTAAAAGATGATGTTATGGAGTTCTTCATGGATTTTCATAAGAATTTCTCGTTTTTCAAATTAATAAATTCTACCTTTATGGTTTTGATTCCAAAAAAAGAAAAATACATCAAACATTAAAGACTTCCACCCTATTAGTTTGGTTGGCTGTGTCTATAAACTTCTCTCTAAAGTGTTGGCTAATAGATTGTCTAAAATTATTGGATCCATCATTGGAGAAAACCAATAAGCTTTTGTTTATGGATGTTAAATTTCTGATGCTATCCTTATGGCTAATGAGGTGGTTGATGATGTCATAAGAAACAAAAAAAGAGGTGTCTTTTGCAAGTTGGACATGGAGAAAACTTTTGATCATGTCTCGTTGGACTTTATTGATCATATGCTCGAGAACCTTGGGTTTGGAATCAAATGGCGATGCTGGATAAAGGAATATATTACTACCACTTGTTTTGCTGTGATGATAAACGGAGGCTGTCGAATTTCTGTAACGTTTTTATGGGCTTAAGGTAAGGTGAACCTCTCTCCCTTTTGTTATTTATTAATGTCATGGAAGCACTCAACAAACTTATATTGCAAGCCCAATCCTTAGGGGTGTTTTGGGGATTTCTTGTGGGGAAAAATGGTCATTAATTGGAATTCTCTCATATATTCTTTGCGGATGACACCTTTTTCTTTTGTCAAGATAATGTCAGAAACGTACTGCACATTAGATGCATCCTTCTGTGTTTCCAGGCAGTTTCCGACCTTAAAATCAACATGAAAAAATCTGAATTGATTATGCTCGGGGAAAAATCTGTTGGATCCCTTGCTGATGTTCGTGGCTACAAGTTTGGCCAACTTCCCTTAAAATATTTAGGGATTCCTCTTGGTGCTAAACATAAAAACAACTCCAATTGGAAGCTGGTTATTGATATGTTTCGAAGCAGATTGGCTTGTTGAAAAAGCAAATTTTTATTGAAAGGTGGACGACAAACTCTAATCAAAAGTACCTTGTCCAATCTTCCAATCTACTATCTTTCAGTGCTCACTATACCCAAAAAAGTTGCTAAAATGTTTGAATCTATTCAGTATCGTTTCTTTTGGAGGGATGATAATTTGAATAGAAAGTTTCATTTGGTAAAATGGGAACAGCTTCTAAAACTGACCAAAGCAGGT